ATTTTAAAGCTGTAACTTTAGAAACCTTTTCAAAGTAGGATTTTCGGTAGAACCCCAAACATGTAGAGTCATGACTTAGCACGACGCACGTACCCGGAGGTACCATTAGACATGGAGGTGTATGTCGTACCGGAGTTACCATTAGACATACAAACATTAACATAAATCTTCATTTGCTAGAAACTTATGACTTAACATGAATTAACACTTTGCACCTCTACCTACCTTGATTGATACTTTGAACATTGTTAAAAAATGCACTTCTTTGATGTTTCAAAAAAAAAAAAAACACTCCATTGATAATTGATGTTTGGAAAACATTTCTTGATAGCACCAAAACTTCTAGGAAAAACTAATTTTTCTCCCTCTCCTTTCTCTTTTTTTTAGACTTGAAAATTTTCTCTTTTATGCTTAGAAACTTTTGTTTTGGTGTGAAAAATGTGTATGCATTGGGGCCTATTTATAGGTGAAAATCTCATAACTTAAGGGTAAGTGAAGGGCCTAATACTCATTAATACGGGTGCCATTTATGTGGGAGTTATATGTTTAACAAGGTGCTAGAAAATCGTGTAGGAATTTGACTTTTCATATTCCGCGTACTTCGGTTGATATTGTACAGCCTTTAGTATTTCTATCATAACTTCTTCTCCCGATATCCGATTGAGGTAATTCAAAGTGCGTTGGAAAGCTGACTCAAAGAACTACAACTTTTCTTTAGATATTATTTTCCAAATCGAATGTTTTCTATGTCGTAAATGGGTCTCAAATGAGACTAAAAATTTGAAGTATACTTTAGCTATCCAATATTCATGTCTTAGTGCCACGAATGTGTTTAAAATTATTTGAGATTCTACAAAAAATATTTAAATTTTGTTTCGACTATTTATAGAATGCTCATATAAAATTTAGCATAATGCTCCTAATATCTCAGGATGGCCCTGTTTGACTATTTCCATTCATATATTTGACATTATACAGGATGAAGGTTTGATTTCGATGTTTCAAAAGTAGAATAATATATGATGGTAGGTTGAAAGCTAGAGGTAAATATGATTCCATTTGATTCTGATTCCAAGATAATCGAACCATGAATCAATGATTTTTGGATAATGGAATCAATTATTTTTGTTTTGAGATATGGAACAAAATCGAAACGAACTATTCAATTCTATTTTCATTATTTAAATTTTCAAATGATAAATAAAAATTAAAAGCTATCACTATGTCCATAAATTAGTAACACATGCCTAGATCAACGAAATAAATGTCAGACATACAGCAAGTTCAACTTTAAATTATCAATCATCAAATAGTATTTTATGGTAGAATTCATTCACAATAGTCTATACTAGCAAACAAAACATAATCATAATTTAAATACACAAACATCAAGTTCCATCCTTATACAAAAATATTGTCTAATAACAACAATTCATATTAGATGAACAAATCATCGACAAAAATTCAACTTTTTGGTTTGATATACTGATAAATACCAGTGCTTGGCTTATGACATGGCACACCCTCTGTTTGGCACCCATTAATTTTCATTTCATTATATATTTCATTTTTGTCTCTCCTATTTTCAATCACATAATCTTCCATAAAATAATATTACCCGTAAATCGAAATATTTTTCTTTTCTTTCAACCACTCATTTTTCAAAAATGCATTATTCCACACATTTTCATTCCACAAAATGAGGGCTAAACGAGGACTTAAAATTGAGTTTGATTCTTGATTCTAGTTATGGTTCTCGAACTAGAACCAAAATTAAATAGTTCTTAGTTTTAAGAGACAAAATCATAATCATATTCGATTTGATTCGTACTGATTTGGTATGATTTGATCTGCTCATTTTATCCACCCAGTTGGAAGCTCTAGGTTGGACTTAGGAAAGATGACTGTTTTTAATTTTTGATTTTTTTTTCTTTATTTAGCTTTAAGTGCGCAACTATATTTTCATGGGATAAAAGTCACAAAACAATTGATACGGACTACTTGCACATAAACCTTGAAGGTTGGGGTGAAAATGTTTAGAACAAAAGTGGGGGACACTGTGTGCTATTTAGAAAATAATTAGGTATGAGAGGCAATAATAGAAGATCAAAGGGGTTTAGGGTTTTTCTCAAAATCCAGAAGCAGAAGTGTGTTCGAGATATAGAGAAGAAAAAGGTGGACCATGGATTCATTCTCCTCGCCTTCTGCTGGATCTTCGCCAAAATTATCAACTGATGATTTGATGGGTCAGCTTAAAGTACAGCTTGCCCAGGCTTACGCCGAGGAATTCCTCGAGGTATTATATATTTTAGTGTGTTTACATTCACCATTACTAGACCTCTATCTATGTCGAAGGGTTTTCAAATTGTAGCAGTCCTCTTTTGATACTGTGATTGTGACGATCAGATGTCCCTTTTTTTACTTCTATTTTTCTATTTTGTCCTGTAAGTCTTTTTGTTCTTTTGGGCTTCCGTTTGTTTTTGTATTTGGGAAGTAATGTCTCGTAGACAAGATTTAAAGGAATGTTTTAGCATTTGATGCATGTCATGACTAATTTAAATATTTCCTAGGAGTACCATCTTGTAGAACCAAGATTAATTTGATTTTGATTCTGGAAAATGAAGTGAAGAATGAGGAGATCTTGTGGGTTTTAGGCCTAACCCTTGCATTTTTATCTGCTCACTGGCTAGAATATGGATTTGGCAGATAATAGAAAAGATGGGGTTTAGATTGAATAGAGAACAATATCGCTGCTTCGGGTGGAACGTGGGTGTGACAACACACTACTACCCTTGCAGAAATAAGTCTTGCATATACAGGTGGAAGGGAGCTGGGGAAAGAATAAAAGCATCTGGACTTTGTTGAGAGTAGAGTAGTTAACTTGGATTAGGCTTGAGATTGACCCATCCAGTTATAGAGCTTAATTTTAGCTTGAGTGAATCTGAATTTGACTATAGACTTTTATTGGAACTTTTTAATATGTTCTAATATTAATATCTATCAATCCGAATAGGTTTTAATATTTGAAAACTATTCTTGACGACGAAACTAAACTTGTAACATTATTTCATCCTAAAAAAGAAAAAAAAATGCTTGATGAGAAAAGATCTTTCTTTTGTGTAATTACACAAGCATGACTAATGTGAATTGGGTTAGGATTACCCAAGGTAACTATGGACTTAAGAAACACCGATACTTGTAAACTCATTACGTACATGTATTCGATACGTTTCCAAACTTGGAATACCTTTCGATATTTACCGGATACATATTTTTTATTTTTAATATTTTCTATACGTATCGAATACATATTTTTATATTTTTTAATTATTTTCAATACGTATCCCATACGTTAGGATGTGTGAAGAATAGTGTTATTAGTTTTAAACTCTTTTAAAGTTCATTATTATTCACTATAAATTGAAAAAGTTTTTTACTTTAAGAAAGAAATCCCTAATTGCATTTAGGTGTAATACATGTCATGCTTGCCCACCCTCCTTCATACTGTATTAGGTTGGCAGGTGACTTGCTTGTTACTCATTGGTCCAATTATTAAATATGGAGGTTCAATGTGCTCTATATTAAAGGTTGAGTCCAATTCAATGATTTTGGAAAGTATAGAGACTAAAAGTGTCATTTTCTTGTGAAAGTTAGATTTTGGTTTTGAATTTTATTCTTTGAATACGTTACTTTTACACAAAAAGATATAATTTCGACTACATTGCGTGCACCATGTCCAACTTATATCTTATTTATAGTATTTGTACTTCTAAGTCTCACTTTTTGAGCGTAGTCTTCCATTTAAAAACCATTGAACTGGTTTTAAAGAAAAACTTGTTGTCATAATTAAATAAAAAATAAGTATAAAAGTCAAAAAATAAATAAATTAATTAACTAATCACATTCCACAAAGTTAGCCTAACCTGATAACCTGCCCTCAACTATTATTAATGTCACTTTGAATGATTTTTATTTATTAAAAATATTTAAATTTTGTTTCGACTATTTATAGAATGCTCATATAAAATTTAGCATAATGCTCCTAATATCTCAGGACGGGCCGTGTTTGGCTATTCCATTTATATTTTTAACATTATACGCGATGAAGGTCCGATTTGGACATTTCAAAAGTATAACAACATATGATGGTAGGTTGAAAGCTAGAGGTGAATATGATTCCATTTTGGTTTTGATTCCAAAATAATCAAACTCTAAATCAATAATTTTTGGATAATGGAATCAATTATTTTTGTTTTGAGATATGGAACAAAATCTAAACAAACTATTCGGTTCTGGTTCCATTAATTAAATTTTCAACTAATAAAATACAAATTAAAATCTATCACTATGTCCACAAATTATTAACACATAAAAATAAATATCAAACATTCAGCAACTTCAACTTCAAATTATCAATCATCAAGTAATATTTTATAGTAAAATTCATTCACAAAAGTCCAGACTAACAAACAAAATATAATCATAATTTGAATACACAAACATCAATTTCCAGCCTTATACAAAAATATTGTCTAATAACAATAATTCACTAATATAGATGAACAAGTCATCGACAAAAATTCAATTTTTTTGGTTTGATATACTAATAAATACCGGTGCTTAGATTATAACAGGACAAGCTAATATTGAGTTTGATTCTTGATTCTAGTTCAGGTTCTAGAAATAGAACCAAACCAGAACCAGAATCAAATAGTTATTAGTTTTAGAAACAAAATCATCATCATCATCATCATCAAACCGAATCATTCTATTTGATTCGTACTGGTTTTGTCTGATTTGATCAGCTCATTTTGTCCACCCAGTTGGAAGCTTTGGGGTGCACTTAGGAAAGATAAATATTTTTAATTTTAGATTTTTTTTTTTTTCCTTATTTAACTTTAAGAGCGCATCTATCTTTTCATGGGATAAAAGTCACAAAACAATTGATATGGACTACTTGCACATAAACCTTGAAGGTTGGGGTGAAAATGTTTAGAACAAAAGTGGGGGACTCTGTATGCTATGTAGAAAATAATTAGGTAAGAGAGGCAATAATAGAAAAAGCAAAGGGGTTTAGGGTTTTTCTCAAAATCCAGAAGCACAAGTGCATTTGAGATACAGAGAAGAAAAAGGTGGAACATGGATTCATTCTCCTCGCCTTCTGCTGGATCTTTGCCAAAATTCTCAACTGAGGATTTGATGGGTAAGCTTAAAGTACAGCTTGCCCAGGCTTACGCTGAGGAATTCCTCGAGGTATTATACATTTTATTGTGTGTACATTCACATTTAAGCTTACCAGGCTTACGCTGAGGAATTCCTCGAGGTATTATACATTTTATTGTGTGTACATTCACCATTACTAGACCTCTAGCTATGTCAAAGGGTTTTCAAATTGTAGCAATCCCTTATTGATATTGTGATTGTAACGATCAAATGTCCTTTTTTTTTACTTCTATTTTTCTATTTTTGTCATGTAAGTCTTTTTGTTCTTTTGGGCCTTCTGTTTGTTTTTGTCTTTGGGAAGTAATGTGTTGTAGACAAGATTTAAAGGAACGTTTTAGCATTTGATGCATATCATGATTAATTTAAATATTTCCTAGGAGTACCATCTTGTAGAACCAACTGAGATTAATTTTATCTTGATTCTGGAAAATGAAGTGAAGAATGAGGAGATCTTGTGGGTTTTAGGCCTAACCCTTGCATTTTTATCAGCTCACTGGCTAGATGATGGATTTGGCAGATAATAGAAAAGATGGGGTTTGGATTGAATATTGAACAATATCACTGCTTCGGGTAGAACTTGGGTGTGACAACACACTACCTTTGCAGAAATAAAAGCTTGAGTGTAGAGTAGTTAACTTGGATTAGGCTTGAGATTTGACCCATCCAGTTATAGAGCTTAGTTTTAGCTTGAGTGAATCTGAATTTGACTATAGACTTTATGGAACTTTTAACATGTTTTAAAATCCCAATAGTTTTTAATATTTGAAAACTATTCTTGATGACAAAAACTAAACTTGTAACATTATTTTGTCCTACCAATTGGTCAAACAAACAAAAAATGTTTGATGAGAAAAGATCTTTCTTTTGTGTTATTACACCTGCATGACTAATGTGGATTGGGTTAGGATTACCCAAGGTAACTACGGACATAAGAAACACCGATACTTGTAAACTCAGTACGTACCCATATTCGATATGCATCAAACTTGGTATACCCTTAGATATGTACTGGAGACATATTTTTTAATTATTTTATATATTTTTTTATTTTTAAAATTTTTGATACGTATCGGATACTATTTTTTAATAATTTTTATATTTTTTTATTATTTTTGATACATATCCACTACACTAGGACGCGTGAAGAATAGTATTATTAGTTTCAAACTCTTTTAAAATTCATTGTTATTAACTATAGATTGAAAAAGTTTTTTTACTTTATTGAATATTAATAATAATTATTTTAAATACATAATTTAGAGTTTTAAATTAATTACAACTCCACGTTTTATTGAAAATATACAATATTATTTAATCTTTTAATACATGTAAAACCAAGTTAATGGTTGATAAATAGATTTTTATTATGAAAATAGATAGTAACTAATATTAAGTTATTGGGGTTTGTTATCTTTTGTGCACTATATGAGAGAGAATAAAATAACTTCACGACAAGCTGAAGAATTGGTTTTCATTAATAGCAATCTACGTCTTTTATCAAGAAAATTAGATCTCTATTCAAAATGAGAATCCAAAATGTGGGACATTGTCGGAAACTCATTTGATACTTTTGAAGGTATTGGACTGTTTAAAGTTGCTAATATATCATCGGATTAGCTAGAGTTGAAAAATGCTAATTTTAATGATGATGAAGAAGCCGATGTTGATGATATTGAAGAAATTGAAGTTGGGACCATTAAGGATTAAGAATCAATGTTTTAGTATTTTATTTCATATTTATTGTTATGTTTCTATTTTTTAAATTTTCTTATATTTATGAGATTATGTTAAATTTTATAACACGTATCCACATATCCTAATTAAAAAAGAAAAAACTGTATCAACGTGCCTTTATTTTATCGTATTCGAATTACATATCCGTATCCTTACTTCTTAGCTATGGACTCTGTGTTTAGGGAAAATGGGTTTAACTGACGAAGTGTTTAACTGACAAAGTATCATTGACATTGTTACCTCCAGATACCACGAAATGTTTAGCAACTAGAAGAAAAAAATTACAGCTAAAAATGAAGCTAATTATATTGCTCCTTGTCTGACCATTTACAGGAGGTGGTGTTGCAGCGTGGTGTCTCATTATACCAAACAATAACAATCTCCACATGAATTAGACCATTAACCTAACAATCCAAATTTCTTGTTTCAATAAATTATACAAGCTGAGGTCTCTAAGTAAGTTGAGTAGAGCTATATTCACAGAGAGCCAAATTTGTTTACTTGTGAGAGCATGTTGACTATGTGCTCTTCTATCAACCATTTTCCAACAAATTCCCAAATGAAACTCCTTCAAGTTCAGACTATCTATCGATTGTCTTGATCAGAAAAACTGTATACTAGGCTTTTTAATTTTTAATTTAAATTTATAATGATGAGCTGCATTCATCTGGCATCGGAAGGGGTGCAGAGATATATATGTTTAAATGATGCAAATGGTTCAGGAATGATTATCTGTAATAGTAGATGTTGTCTGCTAAGAATCATTTGTTGAACATGATAGAGACATGCAAATTATGTGCTTACTACATTGGATTAATTATTGGTTTTTCTTCGATGGTCTCGCAGACCGTGCGAGGAAAGTGCTTTGAGAAATGCATCACCAAACCTGGCAGTAGCCTAAGTGGGAGTGAGAGCAGTTGTATCTCCAGGTGCGTGGATCGGTATATTGAAGCCACTGGTATCATTGGCAGAGCCCTCTTTAATGCACAGCGCTGAAAGCAGCTAATACCAGGGACTTGAAGAATTTCATGGTCTCAGGAATTCCTGGAGAATCAAGTACAAGTAGTAGGCTTGGAATCATGATCCTTTTGATAATATTTGATTGATGATATATGAATGACTATGAACTTCAAGGTTGGCCACATAAACAATTTGCCTCGTAGGTTAATTAATTTTTGATAGGTTTTATGGAGTTATTGATACTTTTTCATAAATATGTTTCTTGTACCTGCTTGTGAGAATGGTTTCTCGGTTTGATTACTCAGGGGCTTGACTCCCATTCCCTCCCCCATCCTAGGGTCTCTACTTGCACTGTCGGATGGGTGGTGTTGTCTTATTCTATTTTCTCCGACCTTCTGATTTGAAAAGGGAACGGCATAGTGTTGTACATTCATTTAGCCGACATTTTTTATGAGTCCATTGTATATTCACTAGGGCCCCTATTGTTAGTTCCATTTAGTGGTGTTTTTTCTACCCTCTCAATTCAACGTAGATTCCATCCCCATTCTCGAATGCATGTTTTTGAGAATGTTGGCAGTTGATTATCTTACTCAGACAGTTGCAACATTCAAACATAGTTAATGGCAATTTTGTTTAGAGAGCGAAAACTAGAATTGTGTTGATTATAGTGACTAAATATGAAAATCAATGCCTTTTAATTGTATCAAAAATATATATTTTTAGTTGAAAGCACACTTGATTTATCCCCTTACTCTAAATAGTGGATTATTTGTTTCTTTAACCAGTTGGTTATCGATCTTCCTATGTACAATACTACTATTTACATAAACAAAAAGAAGGGGAAATAGTTTGTTTGTGTGATATTTATTAGAGAAATCGAGTGAAAAGGAAAATAGTCACTTCCAACTGTAATAAAAAAGTATAAACCTTTATCCGTCGAGCGACAGCCCTTTCACTTGGCGCCATCGGATCCCTAAGGTCGACTGTTTGTCCCTACTCAGTAGGTGGATGTTGCAATCAAGCTCTCTTTTGCCTTAACACTCGAGGGCCAATCTCTGTCAGGCTCAAGGAAATCTTTGCACGCCTCCATTACCTTTTGGGAGGCCTACGCCTCAATAGAAACTATCTACATGAGACTGTCTCCTAACACGTAAGTTTCAACTTGCTAAATTGAAAACCTGGTTCTTTTAAGACAATAATATATGGAGTATATTCGGTGTTTCGAGACCTTAAAACGTTCGAGATCCAATCACAGCATGGATTTCCCAGGAACTTCAATCAACAAAGCTTGTGCTGAAGAAGATGTCACCTATTGCCTGTATGTAAATTCCTCAGTTCTTCCCATGGTGTTAAAAGGAGCTATAGAGATGGATTTGTTAGGAATAATTAGCAAAACGGTCCAAGTGCTCAGCTTTTGCCTTCTCAAATAGCATCTCGGCTCCCCACATGCAAGCCACTCCTTTGCCTTTGAGCGAGCCACTCAATCCACGCTCTGTTGTCAGTCGTCATCATCACCAAGGAAGCAACCAAATCCAAAAGCTCTACGGTTTGGCGCCTGTCTCTAATTTTTTTTCTTTGTAACAGCGATGGAGTTTCATTAGCCCTCCTACTAGTAGCAAACCTTGACAAAATTATCTTAGATATGTGGTAATTAAGGATAGTATTTAATTAGATGAAGGATTAGTAGCTTTTGTCAAATTTTGAGTTGATGAAGATTCTTCTGGTACCACCTGAATAATGCAGTCATAGAAGGGGGACTTCCATTTAACAGGAACTATGAAATAAATGCTAGTGAGTACATAGCAAAGGATGCAAGGTATATGTTTTCAAGAACTCAACGAGTAAACGTAGCTCCATGTTTATGAAGAAAATGTTACAACCTTAAAAAAAGGCAGCCACTCATAAGGGTATGAACTTTGATCTATAAACAATCAAAGTCAAATTGTTTTGAACTGAATGCATACCATACATGTTTTGACAAGTCTACATGTACTCACACTTTTTTAAAAATGATTTACTCACTACTCACAACAAAGGGTGGGGACCACGAGCGGTCATTTTTAAAATGCACCTGGGACCTGCACATATGTGAGAGTAAGTAAAAGATTTTGTACACCAAAATTTGTACATATATAGTTATCCACATGTTTTAGTCCATTGGATTGGCTGCAGAAACTAGTAGTAAACAGGATTTAAATCACCCATTGGAATCCCTGGCAGTAGAACAAATCTTGGAATCCTGTTTTGTTCTTTATTTCAACCCAGATTTAAAGCTAAAATGATTCTAGGAGATAAATTGTATTACACTTGTTGACAGGCATAGAGCATGTTGCAGGAGATATGTTTATGACTTTTTATGAAATGATAAGCCTCACATTTAAATGACTTATGTGAGACGCAGAAACAAAGCAAGGGTAAAAAGGAAAATGACCTGGGATGATTTCACAAGCAGCAGTTACTAGGAATAATTGACAGGGCTCAGTAAGGCATGGAGAAAATGGAAAGAAAGTCCAAGTATCCTTCTATTTTCTTTTGTTATTTCCTAGGAAGGATTTCGCCACTTTGATAGAAAAATTGTAACAAATGCAGTGACATAATTCCAATTGGCAAAAGATGATTTGATGGGGACGTTGATTGTGTTTAAAACAACCCAATGAAGAAATACCATGGGACATTATGCCAAGAATTCCAATCGACAACGGATGATTAGATGGGGCATTGACTGTTTTTAAAACAACCCAATAATGAAATACCATCTGACATTATGTCAAAAATCATGTCAACCATTATGTTACTGTAGCATAATTGTAACAGGAATTATGAGAAGAATTCATACACAAAATTACTTTACATTTCACTGCAATTTACATTTCTTTACAGCACTTCCTATACAGGAATTCAATATAAAGTTCCTGTTTATATTCAATCCTTGTTCTTCATTAAGAAAGCCATTTTTTCTTAACCAAAAAAATAAAAATAAAAAATAAATAAAATAAATAAATAAAAACCCCACACAGATCAGGAACCTAACATTTTGGTATCAGAATGGAAACCATTTATAAGCAATCTAAGGTCAACTTCATTCAAGTTGAATAGAAACCAATCTAGGGCCAAGTGATGTGTGTTATCCACTCTGAATTTCAGACTTTCGTAATGTAAAAGCACTATAATTATGATAAACAAAAACCCATATATGAAACGACAAAAAAAGGCCAATATCTATTGCCAGTTATGGAGCTAAATACATAGCCTACGATGAAGCACCAGTGATCTGCACAGTGAGCAACACATCAAACAATTCTTAAAGATGCATTTTCCATGGCTGTGAAGCAAAGCACTACACCCAGTTTAGTTGTATTTGCATACTTATCATTCTCTTTCTCAAGTCCTCATTCTTTTAGGACCATGGTGATGCTATACGTTCTGCTAACAAATGTCATCCAAAGAGAAACTACTAAATCAAAGAAAAGGAACTTAATTGAAGACAAACAATATTTAGATAAAATCTAGTTTGATAAAACCATAGAAAGAATTCACAAGTTCAAATGGGTCTCCAACCCAAACAGTTACTAACATCCATAACGTAGCTTGATACCTCACTCATCAGATCTATTCTCTTTCTATCTGAATTGTCACGTGACTGATGTTATATTCCCTCCTGATATAGTTGACGACTTTGTCCAGCACCATGTCAGCATCAGCTTCGGGACGAATTTTAACATGGCAAGCTAATAAAACTTTCCCCACTGTAATAGCCCATATATGCAATTCATGGATTGCAACGACATCCTCCATCTCACAAAGACCCCTTTCAAGCCTCGTTGCATCAATCTCTCTCGGAGTGCTCTCCATAAGAACCTCAAGAATGTTGCGTAGCATCTTAATGGTAGTGCCCAACACAATTACAGAAAAAATGAGAGTACAAATCAGATCAATGATTTTCCATTTTGGTTTATACCAGATAATTGCGCCGCCAAGCATAACCCCTATACTTTGGATGGAATCTCCTAGAACATGAAGGTAAGCACCCTGAACATTAATATTCCGCTGCTTCTTCTGTTTATGTCCACCTTTTGATTTACTTTCACTTTCCGAGGGGCTCTTAATCAAAGGCTCTTTGAGGTGTTCATCATGGAAATGATGATGCTCATCGTGTTTGGTTTCTCCCTCGTGATGGTGATGATGGCTGATAATGCTCACATCATGAGTGTGCATATGGTCATCCTCATGGCCATGATCCTGGTGCTCATGTTCATGATGACCATGATCGTGGCCGCGGTCATGACCATGACCGTGACCGTGACCGTGACCGTGATCATGTCCCAACATGAGAGCCATAATAATATTTACCAGTAACCCAAAAGCAGAAACAACAAACATCAGAAAACCCTTAACTTCACCTGAATCATGTATGAGCCGAGCAATGGCTTCATACACAAGTATCCCAGTAAGAAGCCATATCAACTGAATTGAAACCAGTGCCCCCAATATCTCTATTCTGAAAAATCCATAGGATTGACGAGGGGTAGCTTCCCATCCTGCTGCCCATAGAGAAAACAAAGATATTGCAAAAGATGCAACATCAGATAGCAAATGAGCTGCATCTGTCAAAATTGCAAGGCTGTTGGCTTTAATACCACCAGCAACTTCAGCACTCATGAACACAATGCACAACACAACTGCAATCAGAAGCTTCCTCATGGAAGCTGAACGCTCTTGTGCATCCCTGGAACTAGTTTTGGCATCCGAAAAACCACATGGTGCCTCTCCGCATACCTTGTTTCCACCAAAACTTTTCTCTGTAGCTGGCGCATCAACGGATACCTCAATAATACGCCCATGCTCTGAATTTTGTGCATCCATCTAGATATGTGCAACAAATTATCAAAAACGGTCACGAATAATATAAACGTAGGTTAAAATCATAGCAGAAATTTCTTGATATTGTTCGATTGCTTGCAATCAAGCACATCATTCAGCAAGTAGCGTAATCACAAGCACAGCATCCATGTAACATGGTAAACAATATCTTTTAACTATGAGATATAAAATACTTTCAACAAAACAAAGAACAATCTTATGGGGTAGCTATGAAACAGATTAAAATTAAAATAATATTCCATAGTATTCATCTGGCAAAAGTTGAATGTCATCTAGGAACACGGACTAAACCAGGGTTACCATTTACAAGCAAGCCAACTAACTCAAGTTATCAACAAAAAAAATTACTGGGAAAATTAACACGAGTGCTTCCCCATTTAATTGGGAAGAAATCTTTCAGATGCTGATAGGGTAGTACCCAAAATCATACTTTCCAGTTGTAGTTATGCATTCGACAACTATAAGAATATGTAGTTTCATTAATGGCTTCCCCAGCATTTCTGTCTCCAAATCTAATGGTTTTCCGACCAAAGTAAGGATTCTTGATGGGTCTTGTGAGTGTTCAAAGGATGAAAAATCCATTTTTGAAACAATATGGGGGTTGACTATATGAATGTTGCCACCAAACGGCAGAGTAAAGACCAGCAAGCATTCCACAAATACTCAAAATAAAAACTGAATTCATATGGATTATCACGAATCGAGCAAGCCAACTAACTCAAATTATCAACAAAAAAAACACTGGGAAAATTAACAGGAGTGCTTCCCCATTTAATTGGGAAGAAATCTTTCAGATGCTGATAGGTTAGTACCCAAAATGATACTTTCCAGTTGTAGTTATGCATTCGACAACTATATGAATCAATGATGCTCGGACTCTCCAAAAATGGCGAAGTATTACCGACACGGGATATGTGTCGGATTCTCAGTTTTGAACTCGGACATGGCTGGAAAAGGGCAAAAACAATGGACGGTGAAGTATTGCTTCTGGCTTGCGTTTGTAGCGGCAACAACCATTTGTTTCGAATCTTGTGATAGAAATATGTAGAAATTTATGGAGGATTGTAGCAACATTTGCAGAATTTTGCAAAAGGGGAAAGATGAAAGTTGGAGAAGACGACCGGTTGGAGAAGATGATAGGTTTGGGTGTGTATTAAACGGGCTTCTGTGGAGCCCAATAAAGAAGTTAATGATATGAGGGAATTTCTGTAACCAGTTGGACGCCCTTCAATAAGTGTATTTTTCCAATAAAAAAGAAAAAAGAAGAAAAAAATGAAAGAATTAAGTGGTTTAAAAGTCAACAATTCATACTGCCATAAATTAGGGGTTATCCCTAAAGGTTTTATTACTTAATGTAAATGGCATGATTTGTTATTTGCTTTAATTGAATTATTTTTTAGGAAAAAAATTATAAGACGTATTCCCGAACCAGTATCCAAAATTCGGATCCTTTTAAACCGTATCCCCATATCTTAATTTTTAAAATGAAAAGAATCCGACTCCTAGATATGTACCCCTATCCGACACCCGCACCCGAGTCCGAGCATCATAGATAAGAATATGAGCCTTCATTAATGGCTTCCCCAGCATTTCTGTCTCCAAATCTAATGGTTTTCCGACCAAAGTAATGATTCTTGATGGGTCTTGTGAGTGTTCAAAGGATGAAAAATCCATTTTTGAAACAATATGGGGGTTGACTATATGAACGTTGCCACCAAACGGCAGAGTAAAGACCAGCAAGCATTCCACAAATACTCAAAAGAAAAACTGAATTCATATGGATTATCACGAATCGAGCAAGCCAACTAACTCAAATTATCAACAAAAAAAACACTGGGAAAATTAACAGGAGTGCTTCCCCATTTAATTGGGAAGAAATCTTTCAGATGCTGATAGGGTAGTTTCATTAATGGCTTCCCCAGCATTTCTGTCTCCAAATCTAATGGTTTTCCGACCAAAGTAAGGATTCTTGATGGGTCTTGTGAGTGTTCAAAGGATGAAAATCCATTTTTAAAACAATATGGGGGTTGACTATATGAATGTTGCCACCAAACGGCAGAGTAAAGACCAGCAAGCATTCCACAAATACTCAAAAGAAAAACTGAATTCATATGGATTATCACGAATCGAGCAAGCCAACTAACTCAAATTATCAACAAAAAAAACACTGGGAAAATTAACAGGAGTGCTTCCCCCATTTCATTGGGAAGAAATCTTTCAGATGCTGATAGGGTAGTACGCAAAATGATACTTTCCAGTAGTAGTTATGCAATCGACAACTATAAGATTATGAGCCTTCATTAATAGCTTCCCCAGCATTTCTGTCTCCAAATCTAATGGTTTTCCGACCAAAGTAAGGATTCTTGATGGGTCTTGTGAGTGTTCAAAGGATGACAAATCCATTTTTGAAACAATGTGGGGGTTGACTATATGAATGTTTCCACCAAACGGCAGAGTAAAACCCAGCAAGCATTACACAAATACTCAAAAGAAAAACTGAATTAATGAAGTAATCTAGTTTTAAATTTCCAGAAAAGAGTAAAATTAATCAATATTTCAACAGATGTTCAAACGAAAGGTTCGAGATACATACCTTCAAATTTCGAATATCGTTAAAACAGACACAAATAGAACATTCACCAATGGAATTAAGGTACAAAATTATCAGCAAGAACCTATACATTCACATGGCATACGTTGTGCCAAATACAGAAAACAAAAATAAAAAGCGAAAGAGGGATAAGAAACACATAAAAGACGACACCAAAGTACACCAACCATTATTCTTTACACTGTATAGTGCACAAAATTACATATATCATGACGTGTATACATAACAAAAACGCGACAAAAAGCGATAAATAAAATAATTGAACCTCTCATACGCTTCCTTCATAAAGAACATAGCAAAACAGAAAAAAGTTGATGCAAAATGAGAAGGAATCGGAGTTCAACTTTCACTCATCATATCTCATTATTAGGTTCAGGGAAAAAAAAGCTCGAAATACATTGAAGTTAAAAGGAAAAACACGCACAAATTGAGAGATGTATATAATCCAAAGACTTGATGAATATAAAATATGCTTGAATCTGAACGGCATCGTAAACGGTACCTTTTTGCAGGATAAAATTCAGAAGGAAGATTCTGGAGCTTTTGAGATTATTACTATTGCACTCGAAAAATGAATAGAATTTTGCTTATTATGGAAGTGGTCTACGGAGAATCATAAGCTAGGTTGGCAATATGACACTTTTTAATTATTGTTAGGTTTTTTTTTTTTTTTTTTTGGAATGAAATGAAAAGATTGGTAAAGGCGTGAGTTCGGTCGCGGATCCGGGCACAGGTCCAGGTCCAGGTCCAGGTCCAGGTCCAGGTCCATTATTATCGTTTGTTATTGACCGCTAACACTTGTTCCCATATGAATTCTAAATTTATGGTCCAACCGGTACTTTTAGAAAATGGCTTGATAAAACTTTCTAATATTCAATTTGAATTTTCAATAATTAAATATTTTTACAATGACTTTTTGGATGTCAAAAAATAAATATGTCCTTAAATATATTATACAATTACAAAAAAATATTTTTTGTTTAAAAGACAATACTGACATTTTAGTTAATAAGTGAAAATTAAACACCCACTTAAAATTTTAAAATCAGCTAACTTTTCTTATCTATTATTTCAATACAGATAAAAACTCTCACATCATTCATCTGCTTCAACTTAAAATCTCAAAAACTTATTGAACACTCAAAAAGAAAGTGTTTTTTTTATACAAATCAATAAGTATATGTACGTATGTTTAATTTCGTTTTTGTTCAATTAGTATACTTTTTAATCGATAAATCTGTTTCAAAGATTAATCTTCTAATAGATTCATAATTTTTTTAAAGCATAAACAAGCAAAAAATAGCAAAAAAGTAAAATAAAAGTAATTTGTATGTATTCTTTCAGACGAGATTCATGACAATGTTAATTTTCAGCCAACCTTATCGGCAGCGGGCTGTTAAATAGTTGACTGTAATAGTCATATAGTCGACTATTACGTGAGGCTATCCGATTGTTTAACAGTTAGACCAGCTGACTAGGCCAGCTATTAATACAGCCTGCCCGACCTTTTTTGAATAAATTTCTGTTGTCCAGTGGTTGAGCTGATTCCTGACTTTTTTTCTTATAATTAAAAATTATATTTCATTATGCAAATATGGTTGCAATCTCAATTTGTTATTTTAGTGATTCAAATTTGATGAGAAAGATCGATGGTATGAAAATGGACGGGTAATATAGATGACGGTATTCCAATTTCCATAACATTGAGTATATCATATGTGGAAATGTACCATGATTTATAAAACTAGCTAAATGTTGATCCCTCTTATACGATAAAGAATCGAGATTTTAATTCAACGAACATTCATCCATTTCAATTCCGCCTATGATGGCTACTTCTGATGCTGAAGTGAATCATCTATTTGAATTGAACAAAATGCACACAACTTCTCTTCGCGTGACTTAGTGAGGAATGATATTGTCGAAAGTAAACATGAAGATTCGGATAGAGTGGATCATAATGTCAATGATTTTTGGGGACACATTTGAGAAAGCTCGTGAGAATAATGTGGTTATTCCCAATACAGTTGTTCCTGATCGTGATCTTGTTGTTACACAGAGAATTCTCTTCATAATTTAAGACAACGAGAATGAAAATAAACCCTTGTTTGAGCACCATTTTTTGGGAAGAATGAATTTTTGAATAGTGTATTGATGGAAAACGTGTGGTTAAAAAATAAGAAAATATTTTGGATTTGCATGTAATATTATTTTATTGAAGAATGTGTGGTTGAAATGATATTAAAATACTGTTGAAAAATGTAACAAGGGCTAAATTTATAAATGAGGATTCAATTACTTTATCCCGTAAAAAAAAGAACGGCGTGGGAGCCATGGGCTAAATCGAGTAGATCGTCATCTAATTCTTCGCATATGATTCTCGATAATGAGGATTTGTCTGTCAAAAAACTGTTTGAAACAAAGAAAAAATTTCAGGAAACTATGCATCGAATTGCACTTAAATATAACTTAAAGTTCGAAGTGAAAAAATCAAATAAGTCATTATTGACGATTATCTGCGTCAACGACAGTTGTCGTTGATATTTACGAGTGACAAAGATGGACACGAATGAGTTATTTATAGTTTGCAAAATGCAAGGAAACATACTTGCAAAGTGAAAATTCGTTGAAAATATCACAAGGAAATCCGAACATGATTTATTGGTTCGACAGTTAATGCACAAGTATCAGAACCCACGAATGATTTACAGACATTTGGACATCATTAATGACGTTCATCGAGAGTACAAAGTGGTCATAAGCTACCATAAGATCTGAAAGGCCAAAGAATGGGTGTTGGAGGATTTAATGGGCTTAATCGAGGTGAGTTATGCTAAATTTGTCAGGTATTGCTACAACATGGGACAACTAGTCCTAGCTTGGCCTTTTTTTGTGAGACAGGTGACGAGAGTTCTTCATAGCTCTTAATCAAGAGAATTTCAAAATGCGATCAACCCCTAATTTTAGTCAATGGTACAACTCTGAAAGCTAGATACGAAGGTAATTTGATTATTGTTTGCCAACATCCAAATTTATCCTCTTAATTCGATATAGTCGATAGCGAAAATGATCTATTGATGCATTGATTCTTGACAAAGTTGAGGAAAGTAATTGGAGAAGTCAATGATCTTACCTTTGTAACTGATTGGGGACCATCTATAATAAGTGATATCATTGAAATTTTTTCCAATGCACATCATGGATATTACATATACCATATACAAGACAACCTAAAGACTGAGCATCAGGAAAGGCATCATTTCATTGTTCAGGAGAGCGGTTGAAGCTTATAGTGTTGAAAAGTGTAATAAGTTCATGGTTGAAATAGAAAGTAAATCATTACAGGCATGAGGGTATCTAACAAAAATTGGGATTGAACATAGGGTGAGCTCACATTTTTCAGGATGTCAATACAACATGATGACGTCAAAATATGATAAATCTCTCAATGCATCATTCAAGAATGATCGAGAGTTACCAATTCTCGCAATTATTGAGAACATTCATGTTGTTGACTATAGCAATAGTTTCACAACTGACGTGTAAAATCATAAAGTTACAGGAGCCTACTAGAACCAGCTCAAGAAAATAAACTCTTCAAGGCAGCAGAAGTTGCGAGAAAGTTGAATGTGAAATCACTAGATGAGTTGCGCTTCTCCATGAAATGCGCACATAAAATAGCATACATGGTAGACTTAATTGATAACACATACACTTATAGTCAATTTCAGTTGGAGAGTTTTTCATGTAAGCATGCAATCACGATGGCTATATATAGATGCTTTGTAGCGAGAACATTGTACTCTCTATATTACATGGCTGATTATTGGATAGCAACGTATGTCGAGACTATATTTCCTCTACTGAATGAAGCCAAGTAGGAAGTTCCCGACCATATTCTCCCACTTCATAGTTTGTTGCCACACGAAGTTGAACCACATGGTCTGGAGAGTTTTCTCAACCACATAAGTGTGGCTGTGCAAAGCAACAGATCATACTCGCCAATTTAAACAAGTCAGATCCCCCTAAATGACAATTAGACAGATGTGTAATAATATCTGACACTACCCGCTCCGAGTATGCTAGTGGGCCTGGAACGTGATGTGCTCCGATAATAGATATCAACTAAAAGTCCGACCCATTATCAAGGCTATGCAACTTTTATAAATTATTTTTAATAGAATTTCGACAATATTTTTCTGGTAAATATGACTAACCAGCCTATAATCCACTATACACAAATTTCAAAATATATAATGCAAAAAAAAAAAGCCTAAATATCAACTTTTACTAAGAAAAGGACATGAAATGTACATATGGATACAAAATATATGGTGAGCCCCATAACTATTTATAAGTGATGCAAAATTACATCTAAAAATGAACATGCGTCCCGAAACACTGACTACATGCTATATGAAATGAGTCATACTAGCAAACTCTGTCGTATGACTCTGACTCCAAAATCAAATGCTCAACTCCAAAAGATGCCCAAAAATTCAACTCCTGCTTGATAAAAAAAATCGTGGAAAAATATATGAGTTGATAACTCAATGAGTGGAGAAGTTCGAAGATAATTATACTTTCTCGTTTAAACATTTTTATCAAAAATTGAGTTTATATCATTTAACATCATCATATCATTTAATAATTCACAAGATAGCATCATAGCTAAGAAGTGAGACATCCTCATAACGATGTAAAATATCATCTCAAATCCTGATATAAATGTCAGCTGATAACCATACTATTATCTCATCACATCAAAATGTACTGAAAAGTCCACTAAAAATGTACCTTCTGACTAAACTATGTAATCTGGTCATGCGCGCGTAGACTGCCTCTCAGGCTAAGCACTCCCGACATAGGCTTCAAGCCGCCTCAGTGTACAAAAGCAAGTTTTAAAGACCTCTCATAATCAATTCTAGAACACGGTCAATGCCTATCAGCGAACTATATGTACATGGTCAAGACTCCTTCAACCCCAATCAAGACCTCTCAATGCAGTATAGAACAAGGTCAAGACCCCTTATTGAACTAAAAGAAGTAGATAATCGTGGGTACTTTTGTGGTCGATCTCAATATCGCACATGTCTCACATACCAAAATCACAAATATACCATATACAATCTTTGAAGTTCTACAAGTGTCATAGTAGAAGAATTTCCATAATAATCATATAATTGGACATATAATTGCACAAAATGTAATAGTATAATTAATTTATCAATATT